CCTATCTCCATTTTTTTTTTTGTAAAGGTGACTTCTATTCGTACGCCCAGGGGTCATTTTGTACCCCCAGGTTTGTATAATTCACATTTTAGAATACTTCTAGATCTAGTTCGAAGCTCTCTTCGAAACTTTCAGTATTTCTCAAAAAATCATTTTGACAGACTGCTATGCAAAGCGTACGGATCGGATTAACGAGTAAATGTCCTCTTTAAAAGTGGTGGCACACGAGTTCCCCACGTCGTATGGATACGATAGTAAAACACGACGTACGGATAGGGTAAAGCTCACGCTATGTTATGAACTATTTCACTGTTATTGAAAATGGAGATAGGGAAAGAAAGCACAGAGGTAGCAAAATATTATATCAAGCTTCTTCGAATGCAATTATCTGAATATCTTGATAACGGCTCCGAATATTCTTACAACTCGGACAGTGCAGATAGAACATTTATTTTTGGTTTCTATTTGCATGGTTTTAGTAACTCAAAACGGCCAAAAATGTCAGATACGACGTTGCAATTCTGAGGTTGTGATGCGACACTAGGCATGCCAGTCTCGGAGACCCAAACATTACGACACACATCACGTGACCTGACCGCGTATCTCATTTCCCCCATGTCATCTGCACCCAAGATGACTCGGCTAATTTGGCAGATTCCATGTCGGAATGTATGCATATACGCATGCGTGAAATTTCAAGTTTGTGAACGATTTACATCTCTATCAGCTCAAATTAGACCATTTAGAAAGCGGGCTGCTCTGACTGTGTGTTTTAGTTTTAATAAGAGTTTTACGGCACTGGCAAAACAATTAGGTCATAATATTATAAGTGCCGAATAATAGATGTGTTACAAGAGAGTAACATTCAGACAAAAGAAAGAGAGATCAGGACGATATATGTTTGATAGGAAAGAATGAGCGAACCACATCTGAGCACCCGCCAACCACCCACATAGACAGATGGACAGACAGACAGACAGACAGACAGTATAACACTAACTAACACTGCTTACTGAGCAGAACAAAAAGGCAACACCCACACCCACACAGTGTACTGGAACAGGGGCGGGGTGGGGGAGATGTGAGGGGAGGGGTGAGGGCAGGAGTGAGGGGATATGTGGGGGGAGGAGTGAGGGAAGGTGTGACGGGAGGTAGGGGTGAGGGGACGGGGTTGGGTACCAACTTCAATTCTTGGGAGTCGGTGTGGAGAGTCCTGTGGTGATTTGTCAAACAAATGTCAAGCAGCATGAGGAGGTGACAGTTTTTGGACGACTGGCTGCTGCAGTGTGTGTGTGTCCTCGGGGCAAGACAGTCCGGGGGACTTGAGCTCGGACAAGAACGACGGCTTTTCTTTCTTTCTTTTTCTTCTTTCTTTCTTTTTCTTCTTTCTTTTT